GAAATATCTGTCACATCCCTGATGACGCCTGTCAGAGAGGATGCAGAGCAGGGGACAGTCGTTGCTTTTATTACAGTGAGCGACAAAGATGGCGGGAAAAACGGAATAACTACATGCAGCGTGGCTGGATCGCTTCCCTTTAAGCTCAAGTCCAACTACAAAAATGACTATTCATTAGTAGTTGATGGACCGCTCGATAGAGAAAAGATCTCTACCTATGAAATCACCGTTACCGCTTCAGATGAGGGGAGTCCATCTCTGTCTAGCATCAAAGTAATTGTTGTACAAGTTGCTGATGTTAATGATAACGCACCTCGTTTTACCGAACCCGTGATTCACGTTTTTGTCAAAGAAAACAGCCCAGTCGGTTCAAAAATCTGTACAATAAGTGCAATTGATACGGATGCAGGAGAAAATGCAAAGGTTATTTATGGACTTTTGAATGGTTTGCAACAGAGTATACAAGTTTCTTCAGTATTAAACATCAACTCCGACACTGGTGACGTAATAGGTCTGCAGTCGTTTAATTATGAGGAGTTGAAAACGTTTCAGTTTAAAGTTCAGGCTACAGACTCTGGTGTTCCTCCACTCAGCAGCAACGTTACTGTTAATGTTTTAATCCTGGATGAAAATGATAATAATCCAACGATTTTAGCTCCTTATTCTGAGCACGGCTCTGTTAACAGTGAGACCATCCCTTATTCTGCTGAAGCGGGATACTTTGTAGCAAAGATCAGGGCTGTGGACGCAGATTCTGGATACAACGCGTTGCTTTCTTATCACCTGTCGGAGCCCAAAGGAAACAACCTGTTCAGGATCGGAACCAGCACCGGAGAAATCAGGACTAAGAGGAGAATGAGCGACAATGACCTGAAAAGTCACCCACTGGTGGTGTTAGTTTCTGATAATGGAGAACCTTCTCTGTCAGCCACTGTTTCTATTGATGTGATGGTGGTTGAAAGCACAGCTGATGTCCAGACTCAGTTCAGACATGTTCCTATAAAGGAGACAACTTCTCTGATTTGAACTTGTATCTACTGATCGCCATCGTGTCAGTGTCTGTGATCTTTCTGCTGAGTCTCATCAGTTTAATAGCTGTCAGATGCCACAGGACAGACAGTGATTTCAGCAGGTACAGCGCCCCCATGATCACCACCCATCCTGACGGGAGCTGGTCTTACTCTAAAGCTACTCAGCAGTATGACGTGTGTTTCAGCTCAGACACACTGAAGAGTGACGTAGTGGTTTTCCCCGCCCCGTTTCCACCTGTAGATGCTGAACTGATCAGTATTGACGGCGGAGACACTTTTACCAGAACTCAGACTTTACCAAACACAGAAAAGGTGAGTTAACATTGGTCAGTGCTTTGTGTAAAAGAAACTTCCAGATAAATATTTCAAGTACTATTTTATGTCCGCTATCTATCTATATTTAATGAAACGTAGGTGTATTTTTTTCTAATTTTGAAATTAAGGATATGTATTTTTAGTGTGATCTAAACAGATATATGGTATTTATTTTGTCAAACACGCTCCGATCTAAGGCGCTTTCCATGGTGCTGCAAATGCTGTTGGGCTTTTTCTATAAAATATTTGATGAATTCGTTAATTAAATTGATATATATCTTTATTTCTTTTTTGCATTTACTATTTGTATGTTAACGTTACATTTTTTTTACTTCAGATTGCTTGAATCACCAGAGACTCGCGGGAACAAATATTCCGCTAGTTGCAAATAATTTAAGTGATTTTGCATCATACAAGTGTCATTTTTATGCTGAATATTTTCTCTACGTTTTTTCATAATATATGGTTTCAGCGCGTGGGGTCGCTGATGACCGTGTGTTTTGTGAACTTGCTGTTTTTAGTCTCCTCCTTTCTTTTTATGCGTCACAGCAGACTATGTGTGCTTTGTTAGATGAACAGAAACCATGGCTCAACACCCGGGAGTGGAACCACTTGCTTTGAACATATTTCTCGAACGAGTGGTGTCAGTATAGAAACAATTAGCATATCGTGCATTTCTCTCGAATCAGCGATGAGCAGAAGAAGGAATAATGGGATTTTATTTTTCCTGCTCGTGTTGTTTGCATCCGACTGGTCTGCAGCTCAGATATCCTACTCGATCACCGAGGAGGCGGACAAAGGAACTGTTGTCGGGAACCTCGCAAAGGATTTAAACGTCAATGTCCGAGACTTTCAAACCAGGAATCTAAATATTGTGTCGGGACACAGTAAGAAATACTTCGAAGCTAATTTTAAAACAGGAGAGCTTTATGTCAGTGAGAGAATAGATCGAGAAGAGCTTTGTCTGAACACTGTTAAATGCACTTTAAGTCTTGAGGCCATACTGAGTGATCCTGTAGTGCATAAACGCATCGAGGTGGTGATTAATGACGTGAACGACAACGCGCCTGCATTTGTAGAGAAATCATTTTCTTTCAATATTTCTGAATCTTCATCAGCGGGCGAGCGCTTCTTGCTGCCTTTGGCAGTCGATGCAGATTCAGGCAGCAATTCTGTAAAGACGTACAAGCTCAGTGTAAATGAATACTTTTCCCTGGATGTACAGAGCGGCGGAGAACACAGCGCATCTGCTGAATTAGTGCTGCTGAAAGCTTTAGACCGAGAGAAACAAGCAACTATTAAACTGACACTCACCGCAGTGGATGGCGGTAGGCCTCCAAAATCTGGAACTGTTCAAATAATTATTAATGTTTTAGATGTGAACGACAACACGCCCTTTTTCACCAGAACACTTTATAAAGCTAGCATTAATGAAAATGCCCCAGTGGGATTTAAAGTTATTCAGCTTAATGCCACTGATTTGGATGAAGGAAACAACGGGAAAGTAGTTTACTCTTTTGTCAGACGTGCAAACTTCAACCCATCTGATATATTTTTCATTGATGAAGAAACTGGAGATATCAGCGTTAAAGGTAAATTAGATTATGAAGCACAGTCAGCTTATGAAATCCACGTTCAGGTCACAGACAAAGGTGCGTCACCTAGGAGATCCAATGGGAAGCTTTTGATTGAAGTAGTGGATGTAAACGATAACATCCCAGAAATCGTTGTAACATCACTGATGAACCCAGTGAAAGAAGATGCAGATATAGGAAGTGTTGTTGCTTTGGTTACGGTGACGGATAAAGACGGTGGTAAAAACGGTCAAACTCGATGTAAGCTTGTTGGTTCAACTCCTTTCAAGTTAAATAGTAATTATAAGAGTTATTACTCTTTAGTTGTAGATGGAGCCCTTGATCGAGAAGCACATCCTTCTTACAATCTCACAATCATAGCTAATGATGACGGGGTTCCATCTCTGTCCAGCACCAACGTTATGAATGTACAAATCTCTGATGTCAATGACAACGCGCCCACTTTCCGTGAATCTGTGATCAATATTTACGTGAAAGAAAACAGCCCAGTTGGAGCCAGTATTTTCACTATAAACGCATTCGATGCTGATACGTATGAAAACGCAAGAATAACTTATTCTGTGGAAGCTGATAATAAATATATCCCCGTGACTTCATTCATAAATATCAACTCCGCTACTGGAGAAATTATTACTCTGCAGTCTTTTAATTATGAAGAATTGAAAACATTTCATTTTAAAGTTAAAGCCATTGACTCTGGTGTTCCTCCGCACAGCAGCAACGTGACTGTCAATGTTTGTATTCTGGATGAAAATGATAATAATCCAACTATTTTAGCTCCTTATTCTGAGCACGGCTCTGTTAACAGTGAACCATCCCTTATTCTGCTGAAGCGGGATACTTTGTAGCAAAGATCAGGGCTGTGGACGCAGATTCTGGATACAACGCGCTGCTTTCTTATCACCTGTCGGAGCCCAAAGGAAACAACCTGTTCAGGATCGGAACCAGCACCGGAGAAATCAGGACTAAGAGGAGAATGAGCGACAATGACCTGAAAAGTCACCCACTGATGGTGTTAGTTTCTGATAATGGAGAACCTTCTCTGTCAGCCACAGTTTCTATTGATGTGATGGTGGTTGAAAGCACAGCTGATGTCCAGACTCAGTTCAGACATGTTCCTATTAAGGAGGACAACTTCTCTGATTTGAACTTGTATCTACTGATCGCCATCGTGTCAGTGTCTGTGATCTTCTGCTGAGTCTCATCAGTTTAATAGCTGTCAGATGCCACAGGACAGACAGTGATTTCAGCAGGTACAGCGCCCCCATGATCACCACCCATCCTGACGGGAGCTGGTCTTACTCTAAAGCTACTCAGCAGTATGACGTGTGTTTCAGCTCAGACACACTGAAGAGTGACGTAGTGGTTTTTCCCGCCCCGTTTCCACCTGTAGATGCTGAACTGATCAGTATAAACGGAACAGACACTTTTACGAGAACTCAGACTTTACCAAACACAGAGAAGGTGAGTTAATATTGGTCACTTCGTACATTGTTCAAAATTATTTGTGAGATAATGTTTTATATTGCGAATTCCCCTATATTTCATACTCCAGTATGTGTAATTATATTTTCCACAACCACTTTAAAAACAGGGAATTATTATTTTTGTTGTTTACATAAAACTGATAAATGTTTTGCCTTGTTGGCAAAGCAGCTTTTAAAGACGTTTTTTTACTGTGCTGGCCTTTCATCAAAAAAAAAAAGTTTTTTCAGTTTCAGAATGATAAATCGCCTTGAATGACGTCACTAAATTTATATGTTTACTCGTTGCATCTTTCCTTCAATTTGATCTTTTTTCGACTTTTTTTGGCCAATGTTTCCTATTAATTAAAAATAAGCGTAATTGACTTGTGCTGTGTAAAAATGTCAAACTTTCATATGTTGCACAAAATATGACCCATAGTTTTTTTTTTTTTTTTTTTCTGTTTTTTTTTTCATAATTTTTTTATACGTTTCTCACAGTCTGTAGTTATGGCGCAAGGGGTCGCTGACGACCACGATATTTTGAAACCTATTTATTTTTTTTGTCTCCTCCTTTCTTTAATGCGTCACACAAGAGTTGGTGTTCTTTGTTTGAGAAGGAACCATGGTTGATAGTCGGAGAGTGGAGACATTTGTTTCGACAGTTGTTAGGACCGGGTGGTGTCACTTCAGAAACAATCAGGATATCGTATATTTATCTTAAGTCAGCGATGAGCAGAAGACGGAATAATGGGATTTTATTTCTTCTGCTCGTGTTGTTTGCATCCGACTGGTCTACAGCTCAGATATCCTACTCGATCACCGAGGAGGCGGACAAAGGAACTGTTGTCGGGAACCTCGCAAAGGATTTAAACGTCAACGTCCGAGACTTGCAAAGCAGGAATCTAAATATTGTGTCGGGACACAGTAAGAAATACTTCGAAGCTAATTTTAAAACAGGAGAGCTTTATGTCAGTGAGAGAATAGATCGAGAAGAGCTTTGTCTGAACACTGTTAAATGCACTTTAAGTCTTGAGGCCATACTGAGTGATCCTGTAGTGCATAAACGCATCGAGGTGGTGATTAATGACGTGAACGACAACGCGCCTGCTTTTGCAGAGAAATCGTTTTCTCTCAATATTTCTGAATCTTCACCAACGGGCGAGCGCTTCTTGCTGCCTTTGGCAGTCGATGCAGATTCAGGCAGCAATTCTGTAAATGCGTACAAGCTCAGTGTAAATGAGTACTTTTCCCTAGATGTACAGAGCGGCGGAGAACACAGCGCATCTGCTGAATTAGTGCTGCTGAAAGCTTTAGACCGAGAGAAACAAGCAACTATTAAACTGACACTCACCGCAGTGGATGGCGGTAGGCCTCCAAAAACTGGAACCCTCCAAATCATTGTTAATATTCTCGATGTGAACGATAACACGCCGTCTTTCAGCAAATCACTTTACAAAGCTAGCGTTTACGAAAATGCTCCAATCGGGACTATTGTTATTCAGCTCAATGCTACAGATTTAGATGAAGGGGAAAACGGAAAAGTAACGTACTCTTTCTTTAAACGTGCAAACTTTAACCCATCTCAAATCTTTTTCATAAATGAAGAAACCGGAGATATCAGCGTTAAAGGTGAATTAGATTATGAAGCGCAGTCAGCGTATGAAATACATGTCCAAGTCACAGACAAAGGTGCGTCACCTCGGAGATCAAATGCAAAGCTTTTGATTGAAGTAGTGGATGTAAACGATAACACCCCAGAAATCGTTGTAACATCACTGATGAACCCAGTTAAAGAAGATGCAGATATAGGAAGTGTTGTTGCATTGGTTACAGTCACGGATAAAGACGGTGGTAAAAACGGTCAAACTCGATGTAAGCTTCTTGGTTCAACTCCTTTCAAGTTAAATAGTAATTATAAGAGTTATTACTCTTTAGTTGTAGATGGACCCCTTGATCGAGAAGCACAACCTTCTTACAATATCACAATCATAGCTAATGATGACGGGGTTCCATCATTTTCCACCACCGCTGTTATCAATGTACAAATCTCTGACGTCAATGATAACGCGCCCAATTTCGTGGAATCCGTGATCAATATTTACGTGAAAGAAAACAGCCCCGTAGGAGCCAGTATTTTTAAAATAAGCGCAGTTGATCCTGATATAAATGAAAACGCGAGAGTAACTTATTCACTAGAAGGTGATGCCAAAAAACTCCCCGTGACGTCGTTTATAAACATTAACTCGGATACTGGAGAAATAATCAGTCTGCAATCTTTTAATTATGAAGAATTGAAAACATTCCAATTTAAAGTTAAGGCTACAGACTCTGGTGTCCCTCCGCTCAGTAGCAATGCGACTGTCAATGTTTGTATTCTGGATGAAAATGATAATAATCCAACTATTTTAGCTCCTTATTCTGAGCACGGCTCTGTTAACAGTGAGACCATCCCTTATTCTGCTGAAGCGGGATACTTTGTAGCAAAGATCAGGGCTGTGGACGCAGATTCTGGATACAACGCGCTGCTTTCTTATCACCTGTCGGAGCCCAAAGGAAACAACCTGTTCAGGATCGGAACCAGCACCGGAGAAATCAGGACTAAGAGGAGAATGAGTGACAATGACCTGAAAAGTCACCCATTGGTGGTGTTAGTTTCTGATAATGGAGAACCTTCTCTGTCAGCCACTGTTTCTATTGATGTGATGGTGGTTGAAACACAGCTGATGTCCAGACTCAGTTCAGACATGTTCCTATAAAGGAGGACAACTTCTCTGATTTGAACTTGTATCTACTGATCGCCATCGTGTCAGTGTCTGTGATCTTTCTGCTGAGTCTCATCAGTTTAATAGCTGTCAGATGCCACAGGACAGACAGTGATTTCAGCAGGTACAGCGCCCCCATGATCACCACCCATCCTGACGGGAGCTGGTCTTACTCTAAAGCTACTCAGCAGTATGACGTGTGTTTCAGCTCAGACACACTGAAGAGTGACGTAGTGGTTTTCCCCGCACCGTTTCCACCTGTAGATGCTGAACTGATCAGTATTAATGGAGGAGACACTTTTACCAGAACTCAGACTTTACCAAGCAAAGACAAGGTAAGGAAGGCAGAAATAGCATTTGTTTGAATAAAGTAAAATATTCATATTATAGTCTTTCATCTTATTTGAAAGCTTGTTTTACTCACTCTTTTTTTTGGGGGGGGTAACCCACCTTTAAATATTTCATTGTAATTTAACCATTTTTCTCATATCCAAAATATATTTTAGCAGTCCTGCTGTTCATAGCTTGTCTATTGCTGTACTCGTTTTTCCGTGGAGGTCTTTGTTGGCGAGATTATGTCAACTTTTCGTTTTGCTGAATACATTCTTCGATTGCTAATTAGTCTTTCAGATGTTTAAGACAGGGAATGTATTTTAGTGAATGTTTTTGAACTTAAGACTTCAAACACGAACATAATAGTTGTCCAGCAGCGGACTCTGTCCATGGTGCTGATTTCTGGACATTGTCGGTGTGTTGGTAACTGGTGTGGTTATTATACTATTGAAGATGTCAGCGCAATCTCTGTTTTTTGTCTTTAAAATGGGTGACCTGAAAATAACTCTATTTCCGCCTTTATTGGTGCAATAATCAGCGAATGTTTTTTTTTCTTCATATCTAATGTTCCGCTAAAATTCCTATCATTATTTAGCTGAACTGTAATGATTTAGTTATATATTAGAAACAGCACTTGGTGTCGCTGGAGACCATAAATTTATGGGTGGCTCTATTTTTTTCTTTTTCTTTTTTTTTGTGTTCAGACTCCTCCTTTCCATGTGTAGCCATAGTGAATCGCTGCTTTGTGAGGAAACGCTTTCGGTCTCGCTGCAGAGAGGATTCCGTCTTTCATTTACCGCAACATGGACGTGTTCTAAAATTATTTTATTTTATTTTATTTTTCGTGGTTTGGCAGCAATGGGACGTGGGGGACATACAGGCGCAATCTGGACAAACATTTGGCTTCTGCTTTATGTCTGTGGCGCGTGCACAGCGCTGCTCTCGTTCTCCATTCCCGAGGAGGTTGACAAAGGAACAGTGGTGGGAAATCTCGCTAAGCATTTACAGGTCAGCGTGGGCGAGTTGGAAAGACGGGATTTACGAATTGTCTCCGGGAACTTCAAGAAGTATTTCGACTTGGATTTGAAAGCCGGTACGCTGTATGTTTGCGACAGGATTGATCGCGAAGAGCTTTGTCCAAACTCGGAGAAATGTTTCCTGAACATAGAAGCCATGTTGAGCGATCCTTTGCATCTGCATCGCATCGAGGTTCAGATAACGGACATTAATGACAATGCACCATATTTTCTTGACAAGGAAATAAACTTGAATATTTCAGAATCCTCTTCTCCCGGAGAGAGGTATTTGCTCCCGATGGCAAACGACGCGGATTCGGGGAATAACGGAGTGAAAACCTACAAGCTGAGTTCCAGTGAATATTTCTTGCTTGACATACAAAGCGGAGGACAGCACAGTGAATCTGCCGAATTAGTGCTGCAAAAGTCGTTAGACAGAGAGAAAAATGCTGCAAGTCACCTAACATTAATTGCTCTCGACGGAGGTAAACCTGCCAAAACGGGGACATTAAAGATCACTGTACATATACTGGATATTAATGACAATGCTCCAGTGTTTAGTCAGTCGTTGTATAAAGTCAAGGTTCTTGAAAACACCCCTTTGCAGACCTCCATTCTCACTGTCAGTGCTGAAGATTCAGATGAAGGAATTAACAGTGAAATATTATATTCCTTTATTAGAAGAGGAAATATCAATCCGGATGCTTTATTCTCAATAAACCCAGACACGGGGGAAATAAATGTGATAGGACAGATTGACTATGAGGAAACTGCGGCATATGATATCCGCTTGCAAGCCAGAGATAAAGGCACGCCGTCAAGGAGTGTTCACGGTAAAATGCTAGTGGAAGTGATTGATGTGAATGACAACATACCCGAGATTGTGATCACGTCCCTGATGATTCCAGTTAAAGAAGATGCTGAGACAGGAACTGTTGTTGCTCTGGTGACTGTCACTGACAAAGATGGGGGTAAAAATGGTATGACCAGAGCTCAGGTCATTGGGTCGGTTCCTTTTAAGCTAAAGCTAAATTATAAAAATTATTATTCATTAACAGTTGATGGACCTCTTGATAGAGAGAGTGTTTCTCACTATAATGTCACAATTTATGCTATAGATGACGGCAATCCGCCCCTTTCTAGTACAAATGTTATCCCTGTTCAAATTTCAGATGTTAACGATAATGCCCCTAATTTTTCAGATTCTGTAATCAATGTTTATATCAAAGAGAATAGTGCACCTGGAACGAATATTGGAATTATAGTGGCACATGACCCAGATGAGGCAGAAAATGCTAAAATAAGATATTCATTATTAGGTAACTTTGCAAAGAATATTCCAATAAATTCAGTTTTAAACATAAACTCTCAAACTGGAGATATTTTCTCTCTGGAGTCTTTTAACTATGAGGAGTTAAAAACATTTCAGTTTAAAGTTCTAGCAAATGATTCTGGTGTTCCTCAGCTAAGTAGTAATGTGACTGTTAATATTTGTATTCTGGATGAAAATGATAATAATCCAACTATTTTAGCTCCTTATTCTGAGCACGGCTCTGTTAACAGTGAGACCATCCCTTATTCTGCTGAAGCGGGATACTTTGTAGCAAAGATCAGGGCTGTGGACGCAGATTCTGGATACAACGCGCTGCTTTTTATCACCTGTCGGAGCCCAAAGGAAACAACCTGTTCAGGATCGGAACCAGCACCGGAGAAATCAGGACTAAGAGGAGAATGAGCGACAATGACCTGAAAAGTCACCCACTGGTGGTGTTAGTTTCTGATAATGGAGAACCTTCTCTGTCAGCCACTGTTTCTATTGATGTGATGGTGGTTGAAAGCACAGCTGATGTCCAGACTCAGTTCAGACATGTTCCTATAAAGGAGGACAACTTCTCTGATTTGAACTTGTATCTACTGATCGCCATCGTGTCAGTGTCTGTGATCTTTCTGCTGAGTCTCATCAGTTTAATAGCTGTCAGATGCCACAGGACAGACAGTGATTTCAGCAGGTACAGCGCCCCCATGATCACCACCCATCCTGACGGGAGCTGGTCTTACTCTAAAGCTACTCAGCAGTATGACGTGTTTCAGCTCAGACACACTGAAGAGTGACGTAGTGGTTTTCCCCGCACCGTTTCCACCTGTAGATGCGGAACTGATCAGTATTAATGGGAGTGATACTTTTACCAGAACTCAGACTTTACCAAACACAGAGAAGGTAAGAAATTAAGGAACACTATTTCAAAACCTTTTCATTACATTTGTAACTTTTTAATTGTTTTGGTTAGTCAAATACAGTTATTATTTCATGTTTCTTGAAAGTGTTTTTGATCCACAATGAATGAGTAATTCATTCATTATGATGTGACTCTTCTCACCTGTCTTAGGTAACAGCCAAAGTATTTTTTTTCCAATCATAGTTTTTCAAAACAGGAAATTACCACCTCTTTTTTGCTAAAAAGATACTTCAGGGAAAAAAATCAATTTTGATTTTAAAAAAATGACAGGCAATTATTTGAGGACGGTGACAGCCTTTGAATTTTTAATTTTGGCATCTGTTGTTTGCCTCCTTCTCTTTAAAAAAAGTGAAAAATTCAAACAATTTTGTCTGGGATGACTTAAAGTCATCATAATAATTGAATAAACTTTTTTTACACGTTATTTCACTTCAAATCGCCACCAGGTGTCACTGTGAACTGTTGGCGTTTTAACTCATTTTGTCCATGCGCAATGCTCCTCCTTTAAGAGAGAGCTTCAAGCTCTTTGTTTGGGAATCCGTGAGTAACGTCCTCACCCCACTATCGCTACAGTCATGGAAATATGATAACCCCGGAATGATTTACAACCATTTATTTCGTGTGTTTTGTCAGATCCGGACATAATGGGTCAAGGAAAGACGACCCCGACGTGGATTTATAATTTGTTTTTTCTATTGCACATCCTGATGATCGCAGAGGCAGATATTGTATATTCGATTACGGAGGAATCGAGTCCGGGTACGGTTGTTGGGAACCTGGCGAAGGATTTACAGCTTGATGTTCAAGAACTGGAAGAAAGGCATTTTCAGATTTCGGGACCTAATAAGAAATACTTTGATGTGAACATTAAGACCGGAGCACTGCTGGTGAAAGACAGGATAGACCGAGAGGAGCTCTGCGCTCGTAAAGCCAAATGCTCCCTGGAAGTGGAAGCCATTGTGAATTCTCCGCTAAATCTTTACCGGTTTGAAGTTAAAATTGTGGATATAAACGACAACACGCCCTCATTCAGGATACCAGAGATTGATCTGAACGTGTCTGAGTCGGCTTTTACTGGAGAAAAATTTGCTCTTCCGAAGGCATTTGACGCAGACGTCGGCGTGTTTTCAGTAAAGGCTTACAAACTAAGCCATAATGAACATTTTGCGCTGGATGTACAAAACGCAGGCGACCCAACTGTGTCTGTTGAAATGACTCTGCAGAAACCTTTAGATCGAGAAAAACAGTCACTGATAAAATTAACCCTAACAGCTACAGATGGAGGTAAACCTAATAAATCGGGGACATTAGTCATTAATGTTAATGTGCAAGACGTTAATGACAATATTCCAGTATTTGACAAACCTCTGTACAAAGTCAGAGTGCCAGAAAATACTCCGTTAGGCGGAGCTGTCATTTCTGTGCATGCAAGAGACTTAGACGAAGGTCTCAATGGAGAAATACAGTATTCTTTTATAAACCAGGATGATGATAACAACGTCAATAAAT